AGGAGGAGGAGGAGGAGGAGGAGAAGAAGAAGAAGAAGAAGAAGAAGAAGAAGAAGAAGAAGAAGAAGAAGAAGAAGAAGAAGAAGAAGAAGAATTTGCTGTTTTGAATGTTGGAGTGACTTGAATAAAGACCAGGTATTTTGAGGAAGGGAGACGGAACATGAGGTCAGAGCATTTGGGAGGGACCAGGTCTTGAAGGCTCTTGTGAGCCAATGTAAAACTTTTGCTGAGTGGAAGCAAGCCACAGAAGTTTTGGAGAGACGTGGAGTGGTGTGACCTGCTCTCCAGAGGGCTGTGCGGAGACTAGACGGCAGGGCAAGTGGCACAGGAAGAGGTTACAGATAAGTCAGATGCTGGTCGTGTGGTCCAGAGTGACAAAGGTGACAAGCAGCATCATGTTCTGGGTGGGATGTGAATCTAGAGACAAAATGTACTGATGTGGGCTGTGAGAGGGAAAGAGGAGTCAGGAGTGACTCCAGGCCAGGCCTGCCTGCTCACAATAACAGGCCCATGCTGGTCATGTCAGTAGTTGGGATTGGAAGGATTGCTCCAAGTGCAAGGCCAGCCTGGGTCACATACTAAGACTCTGTCAAAAAAAAAAAAGAATTAATTGCAGGTTTCTTGCCTGGCCAACTAGAAGAAGGGAACTCCTCTAAACAGCCCAGGGAAGGCTATAGGAAAGCACATTTGGGGAAAGAAGGGAAGTTCATTTTCCAGCATGTATGTTTTGAGATGCCTATGACACATGTAAGAACAGATGGCCAGGAAGTAGTTCATGTCTCTCTGTGGATGCTAGCCAATAAGCTTCCCTTACACATCCCACCCCTTCCTACACAGCACCTTGTCTCTCTCCATCACTCCAGAAGAACCTGGTCTTAGTACAGTAGAGAAGGCATGCAGAGCAAGTTCCCATTATTAAAAGCCTAATGCCAGAGAAGAGTTGGCAGCAGCTGCGGGTCTGAAGCTTCATAAGTACCATTGTCTCTGGCATACCCAGTAAATTGGGTCTGGAGGATGCCGTGCATAAGGTGAACAGTACTTGTCGGGAGGGATGAGCAGGCTGGAGCAGAATCTTTAAGTGGAAGCAATGAAGATTCAAAACCTGATCCTCGGGTCCCAAGAATGTGGCCTAACCACATCCTGAAAGAGAGAGGAGGAGGTAGGCCAGCTAAGAAGACTCTGGAATCCAGGAGCTGGATCTCTTGGAAGGCCTACAGTTTTGGATGTTGGGGGGAACCTGGAGACCCTGTCCTGTTTCAGGCTTGAATCAGGCATAAGCTGAGTCCTGGGCTACTGACTGCTGGGGTGTGATATAAAAAGCCCAAGTGTTCGGAGCTAGGTGAGCTTGTATTCAAAGCCTTGTTCTGTTTATTATCTGTATAACCCTGGGCACCTATTTCTGATGATTTCCTCAACAGTGAAATGGGGATAGTAATGCCAAACTACAGGTGTCAGAATATGAATTGATCAATAGAATAGATGTGCAAACCCTTGTGAGTCATAGCATACTGCAAGTCTGTAATAGTTTCCTTCACTGGAAAATCTGTTCCAAGGGATGAATTTGACCCCTTTGGGGAGGTGAAGTGTGTCTTGAGACTGGAGATTCTAGTCGTGGAGAAGTGTCACATTAAAAAGATCTGGCATGAGCCAACTTCCTGCTCTACTGCTTCAAGCTGGCTTAACTCGAGGGGTTCCCCTGACTTAAGTCCTCCAGGCTTCACCTGACTTAAGTCCAAGCAGGTTTCTGCTTGTCCCTGGACATTGCTGCAGTAGCAGCTGCTGTTGCCACGGCCGCCCAGGGCCTACTTTAGGAAAAGACCTCCCCCAACATCCCCAACGGAAGCCCCAGCTTCTACCAGCCTCCCAGAGGGAAGGAAGCAGCGCAGATGAGATGTCTCTCAACCGTGTCTGCACTTTGCTCTCTGTGGCTTGCATTGCTCTGTTTCTGCCATTCCTCTGGACACTCCTGACACCTTTCCCCTCACCAAATGTGGCTCTTCCCCAAATCGGGCTCCCCTCCCTTCCACCCGCTTCTTTCTGTCCTCTTCCCCTTCTCCACCACCTCTTTCTCGCTTTCCCCTCTCCCGCTCTCCTCAGAAAATTACCCTCATGGTTTTAACTACCATTTAGATGTTATTGATAATTTTCTTTGGTTTTGTTTTGAGATAAGATCCTGCTCTGTAGCCCAGGTTTGCTTTAACCTCCTGGTGGGCCACTCCATCTCCTCAGTGCTGTTATTACAATATGCACCACCACGCCTGGAAGATGTTATCAGGAACTCTAATAACAAAGATTCCACCAGAGCCCCCGCCTTCTCCTCTCCTCTCCTCTCCCCTCTCAAATTTCTGTCTCAGAGATGGAGAGAAAGCTCAGTACTTAACTTACCAGCATCTACATCTGTAATTCCAGCTCCAAAGGAATACGACAATCTTGTCTGACCTTTGTGGGCACACACACACACACACACACACACACACACACACACACACACACACACTTAAAAATAAATACTTAAAAATACTTCTCTCTAGCCGGGCGGTGGTGGCGCACGCCTTTAATCCCAGCACTCGGGAGGCAGAGCCAGGCGGATCTTTGTGAGTTCGAGGCCAGCCTGGGCTACCAAGTGAGTTCCAGGAAAGGCGCAAAGCTACACAGAGAAACCCTGTCTTGAAAAATCAAAAAAAAAAAAAATACTTCTCTCTCATGTTCTCACAGAATTTAGTTTTCATAGAAATTGTAGCACACATCACACATCGTAGCCTTCCTATAATTACACTCATTTGTGTTTTTACCCATCTCCTTCTGATCCTCTCACCCCTAAATTTGATCCAGCGCTCCTGTTCTCACAGCCTTCTTACAAAGTTATGATCTAGCAAATCGAGCTTTCCAAATGAGGTATGCGCTTGTCCAAAAACGCCTTCCAATAAAGAGTTCAGAAAATAAGTACTTTGCATATAGTAAGTATTAAATGAATGTTGAGTGAGTGAATAAATGAAAGTTCGTTGCGGTGTTTTGAGTCAAATGGTTTCTACATCTCTAACCCTCCCCTGTGTATGTGGTTTGTTGTAGACTACTTCCACACGAGCATTTGATATCAATTCAGTACTTACCTTAATACCCACATAAATGTTCCCACACCATTATTGGTGATAATCCTTCCATTCTACTACTCCAACTGTTTCTCAGCCCTCTCCTTCCCGCTTCCTCACCTGTGATGTTCATAAATTGATGGTAATTTCTCTGAAGTGTCCACTGTTTATTTGGGGACGAGAGTAGAAATGGGGGAAAGACGTTTTCTAATCTCTTTAAATTAGGATGGAGGGAGGAAGGGAGAGAGGAAGAGCGAAAAGGAAGGCGGAAGAGAAGGAAGGGAGGGAGAGAA